ATTAGATTAGGTGTCTAGCAGGTTTTCATAAATATATTCTGTGGCAGCCTACATCTTTGTAGTCACAAAGTTGATTGACAGGTACACAGACTGCAAGAACCCACTGTGCTTCTGACTGACTGTGATTTAAAAAAAGAAGAGCCAAAGGCAGTTCTAAAGGCTTTCTTCCAACAAGGCGTCTCTCCTGCATATGTCAAAATCGTACAAGATTCCTTTAAAGATGGAACATCAGCGGTGACCTTGTTTGACAGTCTTCTGATGAGTAATATACAGGGAGAAATAGGACAGGTAGATGCATGCCCAACAACAGTCTTCACCACTTTATGTGGGATTTCCAACACAGTCCAAAATTGAAGAAGATGGTGGTAAGGTCCTTTAAATGCTTCTCTTTGCAGATTATGTTCTGCTGATTAAAGGAGCTATTTTACAGCCTTCTTAGGAGCCTTATTATCCATCCAAGAAAAACCAAGGAGATGAAGAAGGCCTGTTGTCCAAACCATGATATGTAGTTCAATAGATAACTCATAGGGGTTGCACATTGTAGAAGGGAAATGATGGAAAAGTGTGAAAGATGTAGAAAAGGGAAAAGAGCTGTAGGCCTGTCAAATAGCAAAAATGAAGGATAATGTGGTGGACAGCTTGAATGTTCTAAGTGTCCATCCATATGATATTAGAAGACCTGGAAGGCTCTCAGCATATTGGGCGGATTTATAAAAGGACATGGTCATAGCCCAATGCCTGTTACACAGCAGGTACTTAATAAATTCTTGTTGTCTGATTGATTGACAATGAGACTGGGTTTTGATCTGTATGGCTGGAGGGAACCCGTATCGAGAATAGACTCATGGAGTATTGAAATGTGTGAAGATTGACCCAGAAAACCCTAGTGAGTCAGTGAAAAAACTAATAGAAATAATTAATAGTTTTATCAAAGGAACCAGATGAGAACTAAATTTACAAAAATCTTCAACTTTTCTGTATATTACTAACAAAATCCAGGAGAGACAGAAAAACAAATTCCATCTCTTTTCTGCTTTGATCTCTAGTGGAGGTGGGGTGGGGTGGGGAGCCCATTCCATGCTTTGTTAGGAAGCTTTTCGAATTATCCTCTTTGTAGCTTATAGCGTCATAAGTTGAGAACTGTCCTACAGGTAGTTAAGAGCAAACCTGGAATTCCCTGAACCCAGATCCAGTGCACAGGGTCTGGCACATGGTAAGTGCTTAATAAGTGCTTGTTTATTTGATCACCACATGGCTTCTCACCCTCCTGCTCTTAATTTTGCCATTTGGAGTGGAGGAAAACAAGTCTACTTCTTCCACGTAACAGCCCTTCAGACACTTGAAAACAGTCACAGAATCTCAGGAAGAATGAATCCAATGGCCTCCATCTGGCATTTCGGTAATTGAGAATTTGGTTAGGGTGAATTGGTTCCCCAGGGCATGATTCCTTCCCTCCACTGGAAGGCAGCTAGGTAGAGTGGTGGGTAGAGGGGTCAAATTTGACCTCAGACATGTATTAGTAGTGTGATAAGCTGGCTGAGTCACCCTGTTTACTTCAGTTTTCTCAGCTGTAAAATGATAATGGCACCTATCTCAAAAGGGTTATTCTGAGGATCAAAATGAGATTTTGTTAAATGCATAGCACAGTGCCCTAGCGCATAGTAAGTGCTTAATCAATGCCTGTTCCCTTCCCCCATGCATAAAACTGAATCCTAAGCCAGTAAAACAAGGGACAAGACCTTACAACCACGGTGTCCTTTACCCTTTGAGAACTAGCCTGAACAGCTTAATTTCAAATGTGATGAGGACCAGGCCATTTCCCCCACTTCTGAGTATTTAAAGCACATTTATACAGACCACAGCCAGATTTTTCAGCAGATCTGAGCTGCAGGTTACAACTCCTCCATGATGACAGTGGCATATGGCGTTAGATTGATGCTTCTGTTTATACTGAGCCCTAGAATACCATAAAACTCTTTCAGTAAAATTGACAGCCACATCAAAGAGCTGCCATGCTGTTCAAGGGTGACTGGAAGGAACTGGGGGTGTTTAGCCTGGAGAACAGGACACTTGGAGATGGCCATGCTGGCTGGCTTGACGATATCTGAACGATTTCCACAAGGAAGAGGGATTAAGATTGCTTCTCCTGGCCCTAGAGGGCAGAACTAGGGACAATAGGTGGGTGGTATAGGGAAGGCAGACCTTGGTAGTATGTCAAGGAAAACATTTCAAAAATGTGAGCTGTCTTAAAGTGGAATTTATTTCCTGCAGAAGAGGGAGGGATGCGTGGTGGGGAGGGTGGACAGCCTGTGTCCCCTTGTCTGAACAAATGCTGAAGGAGCCATTGTCTGGGATGCTGTAACTTTGGTGGCTGCACCAGGTAACTGCCGAGGCTCCTTCGACATCCAAGATACTTCTGATTCTCTGAACAAGCAGATGGTGCTTTTGTTGCCGGGTGTCTCATCTTAACAAGTGAGAGCTTAAAAGTGGTAAATACACTAATGGACTCCTGTGGATTGGAAAGTCCTTAATTTTGTACTTAGTACAATTTGTGAGGGTAGGGATGTGTTTTGGAACATAGGAGGAAGGCTGTGGTTTCTCAAAGATTAATAAGTGTTGAATTTCTTGTTAACCTTTTCTTGCCTTATTATTGCAAAGGTTCTTGCATTAGGATCTCTGGACCTTGTTAAAAGAACACCACAGTGGACAGAGTGCCTGCTGGCCCTGCAGTCAAGAAGACTCAAGTTAAAATTCTGCCTCAGATATTTAATAGCTGTGTGACTTTAGGCAAGACACTTAACCTCTGCCTTAGTTTCCTCATCTGTAAAATAGACATTGTAATAGCACCTACCTCTCAGGGTTAATAACCTAACAATAACAATAAAAAAAAATTATTCTGAGAAATTGTCGGGGTTTTTTTGAGGATAAAATGAGATATTTGAAAAACACTTTGTAAACCGTGGACATAAATGCTATTATTATTGTTGTTTTAAATATTTTGATAACTATTTCTGCATAACTGATTTCCTCTATAATCCTATGTATTTTATTTTGTGCATTTACATTATGAGAAGGGGTCCATAAGCCTCACCAGACACTGCCAGTGGGGTCTGAGACAAAAAAGGTTAAGAACTCCCTATTGAAACTTGAATACACAATAAGAAAGGAAAAAGAAACATAAACTTAAATACTGAAACTTAAATACACAAGAAAAAAAAGCAAGTTACGTGCGCACAGAACATAAGTGAGGATTCAGAATACATAGTGATAAATTTCCATCTCAAGAAAGCCTACATAATAACTTGGTGTGTTAAGAGCTGTCTGTCTTGTCTTTGTTTCCTTGTTAAGAACCCCCTTTTTATTTGATTGCTAAGTTTTGACCCTGGTTAAAAAGAAAGAGATATTTTTCTCTGTTGGGGATTAGGATGGAGAGAGGTAGGATACATTTTAAAGGAGAAAACATTTCCTTTAAAATTTTTCTAAGATATAGTTAGTCTAAGACAGTTGGGGACAAGCTGAAGAGGTCAGTATATACCTAATTTTATTATTTCCTGATTTTTTTTTTTTTTTTTTTTTTGGTGAGGCAATGGGGGTTAAGTGACTTGCCCAGAGTCACACAGCTAGTGAGTGTTATGTGTCTGAGGCCGAATTTGAACTCAAGTCCTCCTGACTCCAGGGCCGGTGCTCTATCCACTGTGCCACCTGGCTGCCCCCTGATTTCCTAATTTTTAATTGCTGGCTCTTGACTGATGAGCCGGTATTAGCACGTTTACCAACTTAGATCACAGTGTTGAGGCACTGACATGCCACAACAAAAAGGAAATAGTCCTTGCTGTCAAGGAACAGACCTTGTAGAGGAAGACAGTTCACAGGACAAATCTCTAGGGTGTCCCAAAGGGTTTAACGTATTAAAGCTTAAAACTGCACGGAGACTTTTAGAATACCATCCAGATATAAAAAGAATAATGCAAAATGAATAGTAATAATAGCAACTTTTGTACAGTGCTCTAAGGTTTGCAGAATGCTTTACAAATATCATCTCATTTTACCCTCACGACAACCCTGCCAGGTAGGTGTTATTATTGCTATTTTATAGATGAGGAAATGGAGGCAAACAGAGACTAAGTGGCTTGCCCAGGGACACACAGCTAGTGTCTGGGGCCAGATTTCAACTCCAGTCTTCCATACTCCAAGGCTATTACTCTGTAAATTGAACCACCTTCCTGCCTTAGTTTTGGGAAGGGGAGGACAGCAGGAGCTAGAGGCATCAGGAGAGTTCTATTACGGTAATGACGATAATAACTGTCATGTATAGATGCATCTGTATACAACTTAGAATATTTGCAAAGCACTTTTAAGTATATTATCTCATGTGATGCAACAGGCCTGTGTGGTAGATACTCAATAGGCATTGTCAAATACTTTTTGTAGATTAGGAAACTGAGGCTCAGAGAGAGGATAAGTGACTTGAACCTAGTAATTCAAAGGTCTTCCTGACTCCCAATCCAACATCCCATCCACTAAGTCTAAAACCAGTTGGTTTTGGGTCATGCAGGTTTTCTTTCCTCTTGCTGGACATCTGGACTTTTGACTGTTTGTAGCAGTACCTCGCCTGGACAGTGGACAAATCAGCCACATTAGCGGATAGCGTACCTCTTCAGAGTGTGTAGAAGGAAGTTTGGGGGAAGAAGTTAAAGCTTTTAGCTCCAAGGAACTCTGACGGTCTCCTGGTCCCTGCCTCAATACCAATCCCATCTATAAAAGGGAGTTCCTACTTTATTAGTATTTTTGTCATGCCCCCAGTCTATCTAGACGAGGCAGTTTCAAAGGCTGGTAAGGAGGGGGAAAAGGGGAGAAATCTTGTTTATTTTTTTGGAAGCTAGATTAAAAAAAAAATCTGCCCACTGGTCTGGAAGTAGACTTCTGTGGAAAACAGCATTCTAACTGGACAGACAACCTTAGGGCCCTGGGAACTGACCCTTGTTGTTTGTCATCTGAAGGTCATGGAGGCTGAGCAGACCAAGACAAGAAGTGAGCTGGTACACAAGGAGACAGCAGCCAAGTACAATGCTGCCATGGGCCGCATGCGGCAGTTGGAAAAGAAGCTCAAGCGGGCCATCAACAAATCCAAGTGAGTCTGCAGCCAAAGCAGCAGGGCCTGCTGGTGTAGCCTATGGCAGGGTGCAGGACTGGGGATCGGGGTGTTGGAGTTACATCATTAATGTACTTCACGGGGTCAAGATCTTGAGCTGGAAGAGCCCTTACAGGCCATCTCGTCCAGTCCCCTCAGAAGGAGGCGGTTACAGCTATGAAGTGTGTGGCAGCATCTGGACCCAAGTCTTCCTAACTCCAAGTCCAGTGCTCTCTCCATAGCACTAGAGCTTCTGATGCAGGAGGGGTATGGGTATGAAGTTCATTTTCATTATAAACAGATGCCTCTAGGATGTCAGTTTTTGCTGTAGCATATCATGGGTGGTACTGCTCAGATGTCACTTCCTTTCTGGCAGCAAAGAATTTCTCAAAGGAGAATTTATTTTTCATTCAGTCAGTGTTTAGTGAGGTCTGCAATGAGTCCATGGGCATCCTTAGGGTCTGAGTCACGAATGAACCTCTCTTGAACTAGGAGTGGGATGGAAGCATGCCACTCCAGTGTTTAGGCTAATGTCTGCTCTGAAGATGGGATTACATCTTTTATTACATGGTTCTGGCAGTTCCACCTTTCCTCGAGTCGGGTAGTTTTCAGAACAAAACAAAGCAACGTTCAGTAACCTCTCATCCAGTTTCTATGAGGCAAAAGCATGAAGGATGGCTAGTTTTCAAGACTGGAAAACACCTTGAGTAATACGTTTGTTTTGGTGACTGTTGGAGACCAAAGTTCCTAAGGTAGAGTAGACAGTCCTGTATGCCTGCCTGATTAGGAATCTAGGTGACACACACAGCAACGTGATAGCCCTGGTGAGGCAGGTGATGGTGTATGCTTGCCCTTCTAAATGCTCAATTACCCAGAAAGATCTGTACCATGGTTGGGGCTGTCAGAGTATCTGGTGTCTCTGTCCCTGGAGGAAGCACTAGAAATTCTACATGTGGCTTCTTTCCAAGATCTTGCTATGTCTGGTGTCCATTGCTCCAAAGTCCTCAGCTGGTTTCATAGGGGAAGGGATGTGGGAGTGGTGCATCCTTCACATCATCCCCCTCATCTCTGGCCTTGTCTGCCGTCATGGTTAAGCCCCACATGGTGTTTGTCTCAATTCTGGTGTCTCTCTCTCTCTCTCTTTCTCTTAACGATGGATCAGGGTTATGACTTGAGAAATAATGACCCTGGCCAGGAAAGTGAACTTGAATGTCCTGTGCCCTGAAGGTAAAAGGTGTGCATGGCCTTTGATGGTTGACCCCAGGCATATTTAGCACTGACCAGCCTCTTCTCCTCACCCAAGGTGGACGTGATTTCACTAGCTCAGCAAGTTATTCTAGGTTCATGCCTTGGAATTGAAGGCTGCCTCTAACCTTACCAGCATCTGCAGAATCTCAGAAATAACTTATAGTACCCAGCCTTCAAAAAAGGCCTGTGAAACACCCTTTGGAGTTACTATGGTCACAGTAATAAATTTTCCTTTCCTTCCCTCTGTCTTCTGCAGACCTTATTATGAACTCAAGGCGAAGTACTATGTACAGCTCGAGGTATGTGTGGTATGCTATCTTCTCTCTGTTGCTAGGATTCCTCTAGATTGCAAGATTTTGTTGTGTCCACTGGGCACATTTCAGATAGATTAACTTGTCTGCTGTTCTGGGGGGAGGGTGATGATGGAAGGGCCTGTTTTTAATAGAAAAGCTCAGGAGAATCTCTAGATTCTGGGCAATTTCTAAGACCTCTCTGAAGATGCCCTTCAGTGGCTCTCTAGACAGTATGAAGGACTGAGAGGCTGAAGGCTCTGTTCAGAGAGGTGCTTTGGGGCTCCTGTGTGGGCTTCCTTTCTGCTATGATTCACAATTCTCTAGTTTTTAAGCCTGTATTTTGCCAGCCCCTCTCAGTAGGTATTAAGAGAGAGTTCTGGGTGATGTCATCTAGTGAGTTGGGTGATAGTTCATTCAGTACATTCAGCAAACATTAGAGCAGAGGCACTGACCATACAAGAAGAAATGTGAAGCAGCCTTTGACCTTGAGGAATTTAGGTCCTATGAGGGGAGGCAATAGGTACACAAATACAAAACGTTGGACAGGACAGATACGGAGGAGTTGGAAACAGAAAAGTGTTCTTGTGGGGGTGGCACTTTAGCTGAGCATCCAAGGGAGCTGGGATCTAAGAGGCAGAGATGCAGAGGAGCGCATTCCAGGCACAAGGAGACTGGAAAAATCTGGGATCACGGGGAAGGTCCTTGATTTCCTTTTGAAAAGCTCTTAGCTCTCCAGGTAATGGGCTGGAGAGTGTTTTGAGTTTTCCCTAAGAAAAAGGTCCTAGTTACAAAGTCAGGGCCCAGTGGAATGTAAGTCCCCTAAGGACAGGGACCCGTCTAGATTTTGTTCTTGGGTCTCCAGCACAAGCACTGTGCCTAACCCCACAGGAGGCATTTTATTGATCGGTTCTCGTTGGGTTGGTGGCCATTTGTCTCAGTGAGCACCCTCCCCTCATTCTGTTTATCAGCAACTGAAGAAGATTGTGGATGATCTGCAGGCCAAACTGTCTCTGGCCAAAGGCGAGTACAAGACGGCACTGAAGAACCTGGAGATGATTTCTGACGAGATCCATGAGAGGAGACGTTCCAGTGCCATGGGTCCCCGGGGCTGTGGGGTGGGGGCTGAGGGTAACAACGTGTCTGCGGAGGAGCCCTCCAGGAACAAACCAGAGTTTGACTCTGCTTCAGGTGAGTGGGGGGAAGGTTGTATCTTGTGGAGAAAGGGGGAGCTCCCAACCCTAGGCAGCTCCTGGGGGTTTCATGTCTTAAAGTGATAACATAAACGTCCTAGAAGGAAGAAAGGAAGACTTGCTTGTCCCTTTAGGAGACAAGGGTTCTCTCCCCCTTCTTGTTAGTGAGGTCTCTTCTCTTAGGTCTGGCTCCACGATAGTCCTTCTTCGCCTTCCTTTGGGAGCTCCACCCTTTTAAGATGTCACTATGGGCTGGCTTTCCTTCTCATTCTCTTCCATCATCCTGCCCTGAGTAATAGAGGGCACAAGGGATGGCTTATTCAGGGTTTCTTTGTGTCATGGACCCCTCTTCCCACTTTCAACAGTTCTGTGGTTGACTGACCCCGTCTCAGAATAACATTTTTAAATGCATAAAATACATAAGATTACAGAGGAAACATTAAAATAGTTATCAAATTGTTTAAAAAAAAGTTCAGACTCCAGGTTAAGAACCTCTACTTGATACTACTCAATAGGACCCATAAATCACCATAGCCAACATTTATATGCCTCTTGATTTGAGCCCCCTGACAAGGGACAGTAGAGATGGAGGCTCAGAAGGCTTGAGTGACTTACTCCTGGTCACACAGCTATTAGATTAGATATCAGAGGCCATATCTGAGCCCATCTCCTCCAAACTCCCTATCCAGGACACTCTCCATGACCCTCAGTTATCTTAGTCACTCCCTCCCAAATTTCTTTTCTTGTTCTGTTAGGCCTTTACTTTCTCAGCTCTTGACAACCAGAGCCTCTTTCCCATGGTGCCAGTTAAATGAAGTTATTTTTCATGTGTTCATGCTTAAAAATAAGGGGGAAGTAGAGTGGTAGAGGGGAGAAAGGGTCCAGTCAACAACTCGTTGCCAAGGCTTGTTGTTGAGCAGAGGCAGTTGACGAGGTCTGGGAGAGACCTCTCTGGGGGGAAATAGGAATATTGCAGGTTCTGATAGTGGGATCGCAGATTGAGCGCTGGAAGAGACCTCAAGGTCCTCTAGTTCTACAGCCCCTCCCCCTGGCCGAGAATGAGGTGGGCTCCAGGCTTGAGTCCCGACTTCAATGTCTGCATTCTTCCCCTGGTGCCATCTCAGAGATGGTCAACGTGACATTAGGGCGTAGGAGCTGTGATAGGGGAAGCACACGCAGTGGTCCAGGTATGGAAGCAGCAATGCTGTGGAAGGAACGGCTGTTTCAGGGAACTGACAGTTCTTCCACTGGGACTGTATGGGTCCATCAGGTCTGACTCATTTGTGCCGTTTCTGGAGGGCAGGGATCTCCAGACCTAACGCTGGGTTTCTGGGCCTGGATTTGTAATGCACAGACAAGGAAGGATTTCTGGTCTTGCTGAGAATTGCTCGTTATGTTATGTATGTATAGTTATGTGGAAGGGAAGAAAAAGCCTAACCCATTCCCTCTCTGAGGCCACTGGCTCTAGGGTTAGGGAGGAGCTGACCTGTGTTATGGACCCCATGCAAAGAGCAGAGTTCTGACATTTTGTTCTTCCCTTGACCTGGGATTTATAGTAGGATTTCTTCTTCTCACCACCCAGACAGGGCTCAGGCAGCTGCCATTTTATGCTGATAAATGGGAAAAGAAAGAGACTCTTCATTGATTTCTATGTAAGGGGTTTAAAGATAAGTTCTAGGGCATTTCACACCCCTGTGATTTAAGCCACCACGTGATTCTCATTTATTAGGAGCAGTTCCCATGTGGTGTGGGCCTTGTCCCTGGGTTTCCTTGCCTTTTGAGGAAAGGGAAAGAAACAGCCCTCTCCTTTTGTCACCCACAGCGGGCCGAGGGGTGTTAGTTCCTGTAAACCTGTCTGCCTGCCCCCCAAAGCGGACTGTAAGAGACGGCTTGTCCTTTGGCAAACCCAGCGAGACTTGTGTTCTCTCCAACGCTGCAGTGGCCTCGGAGGCATTGGAAGATGACAACTGCAGCAGCTTTGTGTCAGAAGAAGATTCTGAAACCCAGTCTGTGTCCAGCTTCAGTTCAGGGCCGACAAGTCCCTACGAGCTCCCGAGCCCGCTGTCTCTCGTCATGAGGCCCGGCAGCCTCGATCTGCCCAGCCCTATGTCTCTCTCAGAATTTGGGATCATGTTTCCTGTGCTGGGTCCTCGGAGTGAATGCAGTGGGGCTTCATCCCCAGAGTGCGAAGTGGAAAGAGGTAAGGAGCATGGCCTTTTCTCTTCCCACCCTTTGCCATGACTTGGGCTGAAGTTCTCCATGAGCCATTGGTGGATCAAGTCCCTCCCCATGTTCACGTGGCTCCTGGTTTGGGAAGGAGGGACTATTCTTTGCAAATGCCATCTTGCTCTTTTGCCTTCTGAAGCCAGGCAAACTCATTTATTTTAAGCAGGCAGCTGGTGGCCCAAAGAACACAAAATTTGGAGTCAGGAAGACCAGAGTTCAAGTTCAGCCTCAGACACTTGAGCTGTGGCCTTGGGTAAATCATTTAACTGTAAAATGGGAATTATAACAGCACCCACCCGACAGATTTGTCGTGAGGATCCACTAAGATATTTGTAAAGTGCTTAGCACAGCACCTGGCCCATAGCAGGTGCTATATAAATGCTTATTTCCTTTCTTTCTAATCCTACATGCCCCTGGATACAGGGTAGCAGAGCAGATAGAGAATCTGTTAGGAAGATTTAGATTCAGGTCACACCTGTGACCTAGGCAACCTTGGCAGAAGAAACTTTTTGTAGTAGCAGATATCTTGATAAGCATAGGATTTGGTAGGAAAGAATTCAGGCTTTTTGTAAATTGCTTCCTCACCTCAATGTAATTCAGCATCTTCTGTGGGCCCAGCCCTCTTTTCTGAGGTAGAGTTAAAATAGCAACACATCTCTGTCTGTGACCTTCAGTTCTGCCTGGGGATTAGGGTGGATTCTAGTCCCATTCGGACTTGCTGGGTCTGTTTCCCCATGGACTGAAGGGCAGGGACGTTTGGAGAGGACCAAACTTGGGCTCTGACCGACCAGCAGCATGTTCTGGCCCTCTTGTTCTGCCGGGTTCCCTGAGCCATCCCAAGGTGTCTGTCTAGCAGTTGAATTCTGTATTTTAATCCTCTCTCACACTGTATTTCTTCAGGGGACAGGGCAGAAGGGGCTGAGAACAAGATGAGTGACAAAGCCAACAATAACAGGAGTGTTAGCACCAACAGCAGTGGAAACAGCAGCAGCTCTTCCCCTGTGGACCGAAGCCTGGACAACGAGATCAAGCAGCTCTCCCTTCAGTATCCAAAGGGAAAAGATGGGATTCCTGGCGACAGAAAAGTGGTGCAGATTGGCTGAAGGATCTGAGGAGGCCAGTGCCCAAAGATCTGAATATTTATATGTGAAACTCTAGACAGACGGACAGAGTGTTGTGCCAATATTTCTTTACTATATGCCAAATCTTAAGCATTTACTCTGAACTGCACTAAGAACATTTGTGACCCAGAGGGCTGGATTCAGCTCTGGTTTTCTGCCCAGCACGATGTCTTGGGTGGGTGGGCATGGGGGAGTGGAGAAGTTGTGAGCTGGACAGGCTTGTCCTCACATTCTTCCAGCATTTGTAAAATACATCTCCCCTTCAATATCCTAGTTTGGAGCAATAACAACTTCTCAGAACACAGCGTGAAACAAGAAAAGGGCTGGGACACCAAGCCCGACCTTGGCAATTTGAGCAGAGCATTGTGCTCCTTTCTCTTCCTATACCTGTTTTTGTGTTCTGAAAGATAAAGCTTACGTTCCTGAGTAATCTGGAGCGGGTGGCCTCCTAAATGAAATGATTTGAAAATACAGTAATTAAAATACCCATCACTTTTAGTATTGTAAGGCATTAACAAAATGACCTCCAAAAACACTGTTATCTGGAGATGAGTCACAGAGGCAAGCCCCAGACTTACTAATTGCCTCTCATGCACAGAGATGACCTGTTAAAAAGCTCAATGGTGCTCAACATGGGGCACCCACTTAGAAGCTTTTTCAGTGGCTTCGAGCAAGATTCCTGGAGATCAGCACTTTGTGGGCCAGGGGAGACCAGGGTTCGCCCGAGTCCAGATAACTTAGTAGAGGGGTGTTCCTGGCTGGAGCAGGCAGCATAGCATAGGCCTTGTGATGCCAGCCAAGGGGGAGGGGGTGGGGGGAGGGGGGGTAGATCCAAGGTTTGTTTTTCATGAGATGCATGTGCCAGAGCAGTTGGCCTTCACGGTATCCAGACTGACAGAAGTGTTCATTTATCTGTGGGCTGTAACTTTTTCCTTCTCTTTTTAAAAAGCAATTATTTAAGAGTTATGCTGCTGTAAGCATACATTACAGACACTGTTCCCTCCAGCCTAGAAAAAGGGAGTTAGGCATGTCTTGGCAAAGGCTGTCCCATAGAAGCAGTGAGGCCTAGTAGTTATGTTCATAGTTGTAAACGTAGGATTATTCTTTAAAGTTTTGGTGGTTTGAAGTAAATAAAGCACCGTAGCTGTCCCTCTTTGGTTAGTCTGAGGGGTGGGGAGGGGGGAGAAACCCATCACACACTCGCCAACCACACACACTCTCAATCTATTTCATGTGATGAGGTCTCAGTTTGGTTTTTTTTTGTTGTTGTTGTTGTTACTGTTCCTGCCCTAGCTTGAATATCTAGTCATGTTTGTAAACTTCTTCACACTGGTAAACCTTCAATTTTTCCTATTTTTTATGGACTGATACAGTATCCTGAATTCAAAGTTATTTTGTACTTGTCTTAATACCTTGAATGTAATAAAAACAAAATCTCAAGACAGTGCTATAGCCTCTGTGACTTCTTATAGTAGCAAGAATCTACACCATGACCTAAGGAAGCACACTTTCATCTTCCCCCTCCCTTCTTACATCACAAATATGCTGATTCATGATCTACTGCTCTCCATACACCACTGGATCCCTCTCGTATTACAAAGAAAAGCAGTTAAGAAAAAACAACCCAGTCTAAGACAATGGGCTGCACTTCCAGCCTCTGTCAGCTCTGTGGGGGGGTGGGGTGGAGATTTCGTGTCCAACCTTCTAGTCTCTGGGACTGTCTAGGATCACCTTCGAGGAGCTAGTAGCCCAAAGAAGCAACATTACAATCAATAGTCTGCGTAACTACACAGCTGCCCCTTATCCTTGCTTTCCGTTAAGGGCTTAAATCCTCCACCTGCTTCCTTTAATCTGGAATCCCAAAGCAGTGAGGCACGGGTCCCATGCCCTGCCCTGTTCTTTATAAGAATCATTTTAAATGCTCGGCAATCAAGACAAGGGGGTTATGTCTAAAACGCACATGGATCTCTCCTGGTTCGTTTTATACCCAGCTGGAAACACCACAGGACCGAGTAGCTTGTGCGTTCCATCACAAAATGACAAGCTATAGAGAAGTAATAAAGCTCAGTATGGAATTGCCAGATAATGGCCCACCCCAAAACTGAACATAACATAGTACTGCCAGGACATGGATTGCGAGCTGGAAGTGACCTAGCGGTCCTCCAGTCCAGCACTTTGACTTTATGGGGGAGGAGCCCAAGGCCCAGAGCAAGCTTTCACACTGGTCACTTCCCTTCTGTGGGCCCATTTCCTCACCTGTAAAATGAGAGCTGAACTATGGGAGTCTCTCCTACTCTAAGCCCATCTTCTTTATGACCAGCAGGTAGTAATTCACCAAGTTTAAAAAGCGCCTGTTTGGTATACAACACCAGGCAGTTCACATCCAGAACATGATTTAAAGCTCAGTGACCTAAGGGAAGTCACTTCATCTCGCTGAGCCTCAGTTTCTTTATCTGTAAATGAGGAGGTGGAACGAATTCAATCTCAAAGATCACTTCTAGTCTTAAATTTAAGATCTCCCGATCTCTTCCTGCTCTAACATCTTGAGATCAGACAAGTAAGCAGGTGAGCATCAATAATCTTTAAGGTCTTCTCCAGATCTAAATCCTGGGATCCAAAACCAAGCCTACTGCTACAAGGAAGTACACCTGAACCCTGCTCCCGTCTATTACTCGGGTCACACCAAAGACACAGCGGAGGCTGCGGCGACCTCTTCTCACTCCTTGGGCCTCCATCCCTCCAAGCTTCAGGCCCCTCTTGGCTCTCCCCTCTGCTCATCTCTCACTCAACCTGAGCCCTGGCAGAGGCCCCCATCCTTCTCTTCTCCAGCAGCTGAAAGCCACCCGATTGTGCTGACTGAGCACACAATGAGTTCACGTCACCGGGCTTCCAGGGGGCCGACAGCCTCCAAAGGACACAGGCAGGTGAGCCCTCAGGGACTCGTGAGGCCCTATTCATCACTCCCCTCTGCTCTACACAAGCTCTACCTCGCCGGTGCTCACTGTGACTGCCTCAATGGACCTTTAAAGGAGAACAATGCCTTCCCTTACTGCACCCCACAGAGGAAAGAGGATCTGGAAACGTCAGACTGGAACAGTGACACAGGCGCCAAAGATCTCACAGCACTTAAGTCTACCCTCCTTATTTTACAGATATGTAAACTGAGGCCCAGGGAAGGGATGTGACTGTCCCAAGGCGGCACAGCTGGCACTCAAAGACCTGAACCCAGGTCTTCCTGTCTCGAGGCTGACTTTCTACCCCCTAAGTGACAGTGCCTTTCAATGACTGCCATTTTTTCCAGGTCTAACTGAGGAGGTAGTATAAACCACCTTAGAAGTATTGTGAATCCAATGATTATTGTATCACTTTAATCCCTGTCTATGGTTGAAAAGGACTATGGGAAAAGCGAGACTGACATGAGTGAATGGAAACCTATTTATGAGTTTCCATTTTTGAAAGAGAATAATTGGGATGCCATTCAAAGTAAAGAGCTGGGGGCGAAGGGGAAGGGGCGGATTCCTCTGTGTGAGATCTCTGAGGTGAATCTCCGAGGAGAATCAAGGCACGTTACGGGATTAACCACATTCATGAGAGGTCACTTACTGTCTCAGTCAGTCAAGAACCAAGGAATAAATAACAAGTCTGGTGCAGAAAATCCATGACCTTTGCTCAGAGGAGAAACCTTCAGGCACTTGCTTGAAGACTATTTACTCTCAGTTCACACATATTTGTAACAAGCCTGGTGACCCACTTTCCAAGTTCCCAGCCAATCAGAAGTGGTCAGGAGGAAGTGCCAAAGGTGGCCCACTGATGACTGCAAGAAGCATCAGCTAATGGTGAGGAACCTAGGGCAATGGGGCTGGGGCAAATGGCCCCTGCCTCATCCCTCCAAAGAAGTGTCTGAATCAGGGACACAGTCCCCATAATGATGACCTTGGAGTTAACCCGAAAAGATGAAAATTTTAAGACGGCAGGGTGTGGAGAATCTATCTTCTAAATATTTCCTTTAAAAATGGGCTTTAAAAAGTGTCGGATGCTTTCTAGTTTTGGTGCTTCCTAGACCCCTGGCTCTGTCCTGAGAGGAGAACGAAGGCACCGGCAAGTTAAGGGACTTGTCTGTGGTCACTCCAGTTACGAGGAAATTCTTCCATGAAAAAACCTCCCTCCTCTAAGGTGCAGATAAATGAGCTTCATAAGGAAGTCTCCATCCACGACTTCTTCGGAGAATGGGATCAGCCCTGGCTAAGCGAGCCAAGGGCACCAGCTGGCTCAAGCACCGAGCACCAGTTATGAGGGGAGCAGAAAAAAAGAGAGTAAATGATGACAAACAAGGGTTAGTATAACCATTAGCACCAAGACTGTAAGTTAGAGGGTAGCAAATTGGGAGACTGGTTACAAGGATGTTTTCTATTGCATATTACATGCACGAATCATCTTTCTTAATCTGTTTTGTGTCAGAGACCCCTTTGGCAGCCTGGGGAAGCCTAATGGATACCTTTCTCAGAATAAGGTTGTTAAACGCATGAAATAAAATACAGAGGACTAGACAGGAAACCAACTTAAATGAAATACAGTTATCAAATCTAGAAAAGTTTAAGGAGCTGGGGTTAAGAACCCCTGCTCTCTGTGAAGCCTTTCCTGATGCTGCTAGCTGCTGGGAGCACTCCCTCTGATGCTACCTTGCATTTTTTTATATACTTATGTAGCTACATGTTATATCCCTGGTAGAATGTAAGCTCCTTGAGGGTGGGGACTTGACCTTTTGTCTTTGTGTCCCCAGCATTTGCCACAATGCCTGATATTTACTGACAACTTAGTAATGCCTATGAGTGAAAAAAAGAAAGGTGGGAGAGTGATAAGATAAGTTTAAAGGACTGGATTTAAATGCTGACGGCCCCAAGTACTGCTTGGGTGTGCTTGGGTAAATCACAAGCTTTCTGAGACTCTATTTCTTTATTTGCAGAGTGAGGGGTTGGGCTGAACCTGGTCCCTGGGGTCTTTGCCAGCTCTACAGCTTTGCTCCTGTGAGCTGATGAGAAGCAATAGCTAAAGTGCAGATAGACTCAGGTTAGACTCTCAGCTTCCCACTGCCACACACACTGAGATTCTGTGGGAGTGTCCTCATTTTACAGGCAGAGAAACAATTCAGCAACTTGTCGAATCACACAGCCGGGATTGAATCCATGTACTTAGTTTACAAGTATGTAATACTTCTTGGTAAAGAACCTATGAGGAAAGAGTTTGTTAGGTAAGTGACCAAGAACCATTACAAGCAGGGAACCGAGTGTCAGATCACCCTCCGCTGCAGTGTTAAGCCTAGGGCTTGTGAAGGCAGATAACCCCTCAAGGCAGACCACAGACTGACCCTGCTCTCATCATGGCAATTTCATAGAATCCCAAAGCAGCGCAATTGGGAAGCAATATGTGATCATCTTATTTGACCCTGTAACAGAGGAGGAAATGAGGCCACAGAAGCTAAATGAAGTCACATCATACAGCAAGTTAATTAGAATTCAGATCAACTTTCAGTCCAATTTCCTCATCCTATGTCAGCCAGCAAGAACTGATTAAGGACATACTATATGCCAGGCCCATGCTTAATTTCTTCTTGTTAGAGCCAATGATAATAATAATAATGATAATGATAATAATAATAATAATAATAGCCACTTGTTAGAGCCTGCTATGGAGCAAGTCACTCATCAAATAACACTATAACCAAAAGGAGTTATTTCATTTACTTGTCTTTTGCTTTTCACAAGAAGTCATACGAGCTGGGTGACATTCTTTACCTTCTCTTGTCCAC